CCATAGCAACTGGAGGACTTCATTCTTTCGACCCAAGTAAACTGTTAATTCGCAATGGGAAACGTAAGAGAAATGACTGGAAAAATATCTGCAGTTAAGTTGATTTTATAAAAAAGATTTAATTCAGTTAGATGTTTGTACATATGTCGGGATGAATTCAACGAAGAACACTTTTATTTAGAGTTTGTGTCATGTGTACATAAAACGTCATTCGTTTAATGTCTATATTTACTCTTGTTTTCTTAGTGCAAAGCTACAGAATGAGATACCTGCACTTTTTCCACTGCAGGGAATCAAAACTCGGAACTTTACTTTGAAATCCTTAAACTTACTGCTGAGCCACCTGGGGACCTATTTAATATTAAGAAAGAAGGCGAAGGCTTAATTAAAACACACAAATTAAGTTTAGATAAAGTTTAAAAATGTAATTCAACACCACATTCAGCAACTTACTACATATCGGTTTGGACCAGTTCTTAAAACCTTACAAAAACAAGTGTTATATGTATATCTCTTAAAGATGTGTCTTGTACGTTCATACTTTGTTAATAGAGTGGCATTCATTACAGGTTCATAGAGTGACATCAGAATTTAACTATTAAAAAGATTCACCAGACATTCACCTGATAAACATCGAGACTTGGAGCTACCTGTTAAATACTTAAATGACGTTTAATGGAAAATAAACGTTTATAATGGAAATGGTTCTGTTAGCTGTATTCACCTGTGAAGACTTCGAAACTCTAAGATTATTTAAACTTACCTTTGTGGGAGACTAGAAATATGTAATGGTGTAGTTAAAGAATCACAAATGGGGTTAGCTGCGCGTGTTGTAAGTCCGTAAAATTACCGCTGGGGGACAAAAATATTCTGATACTTTCAACTTTGGAGTCGCAAGTGTGTGTTATTTCGTCTTATTTTCTGTGAGTGAGGGTTGAAAGAATGAAGTCCTCCAGTTACTATGACGTCATTAACAGTTTACTTGGGTCGAAAGAATGAAGTCCTCCAGTTACTATGACGTCAGCCTGAAATGCTGTTTTCATACACCTCTGATTTTGAGCCTGAAATGCTGTTTTCATACACCTCTGATTTTGAGCCTGAAATGCTGCTTTCATACACCTCTGACTTTGAGCCTGAAATGCTGTTTTCATACGCCTCTGATTTTGAGCCTGAAATGCTGTTTTCATACACCTCTGATTTTGAGCCTGAAATGCTGTTTTCATACACCTCTGATTTTGAGGGTATAGGATGAACTTACAATAATAGAATTTAATGAGTCTAAACACTAAACTTAAAGATATTTAACTTAGCTGGACCTTGATTTATTCATTTTTGTCTAACGTATAGTGATCCTAAGCTACAATGGAAACCTTTCGATAAAAGGAGTATTTTCCATGATCTATTTTTTCGTTTGACTGTTTTTATACTTCATATTTTCCTATATCTTATTCAAATACGTAGCATTGAAATATACTATTTACAGAGTAGAATCAAACTGCGAAATAGACGACTCTTATGGGAAGTGACGTGTTCTAGATATTCATTCTTTCAACTATTTTACATCAGAAGTGTCTTCTCCGCTCACCACAAGTCGACAAACAGTTCCTACATACAAAAAAAAACTGAGATATGGAATCCAAAATAAGCATTGTGTGGCAATCTCTATTTAAAGCTACAGTTTGTCTGTTTGTTTCACAGCTTTTATGCAAAGCTACACAAAAGTTTTCTGCACATGCTTGTTTTCCAACTTTTGAGCTATACTATAGAGAAGACGAGCACCCCTCAGCATCCACCGCTAGATCTTGGACCTTTCTATTCTAACCAAATAGCGAGATTTAATCATCACATTTATGGGGCACCCAAGAGACGCCAAAGTTGGTCCTGCAGGTCTATAGTTCGGCAGGATAGTCCCTGGGCCACTCTCATAGCACACTCAGGTCTATAGTTCGGCACGATAGTCCCTGGGCCACTCTCATAGCGCACTCACAACTCTCAAGTTCTAAACCCACGTTATTAAGGCAAAGGGTCTCGAACCATGAATCCTTGGATTCAAGTCTGCCAAGCCCGGCCCAAAGCATTATCACCTGGTATTGAGTGGTCACAATGAAACGTCAACGTGAACCTGTACTTGTAAAACCACTGCTGTTTCACTGAGTCACAATATATAATTGCTATGTTCTTGTTATTTGTGCACTGTTTCCCTAGACAAAAGTGCCTTTACTGGTCATATGTTTCGCTGTTAAAACGTTGACCAACTGTTGAAGGTAAAGAGAGTAACCCTTATCTTTATGGCTATTCTGTATGTTTGACCTCCTACGTCATTATTCTTGAATTGTTGTTATAAAGTTTAGGTTCCATTAAGATTAATTCAGTTTAGTGTTCATAGACCCTCTGTGTTATAGGATTCGTTTTAATCAGAGTATAAAGATTGACCCTCTGTGTTATAGGATTCTTTTTAATCAGAGTGTAAAGATTGACCCTCTGTGTTATAGGATTCTTTTTAATCAGAGTATAAAAATTGACCCTCTGTGTTATAGGATTATTTTTAATCAGAGTGTAAAGATTGACCCTCTGTGTTATAGGATTATTCTTAATCAGAGTATAAATATTGACCCTCTGTGTTATAGGATTATTTTTAATCAGAGTGTAAAGGTCATTAAATTGAACATCTTTTCTACCCATCAGATTGCGTGGATCCACACTGACCGTTACACTCTGCTGACCTTACAAAACAGGGTCATCACCAGGAACCCTAGATTCAGCATCACCCACAATGGTCACCGCACGTGGACGCTGTACATCAGGGAGGTGGAAGAAAGAGACAGTGGAGAATACATGTGCCAAATTAACACTTCCCCAATGAAGAGTCAGAGCGGGTTTATCAGTGTTGTAGGTAGGCAAACTTGGAGAACAATCCTTATAACTGTAACAATGAATAGTCAGAGCGGGTTTATCAGTGTTGTAGGTAGGCAAACTTGGAGAACAATCCTTATAACTGTAACAATGAAGAGTCAGAGCGGGTTTATCAGTGTTGTAGGTAGGCAAACTTGGAGAACAATCCTTATAACTGTAACAATGAATAGTCAGAGTTAGTTTATCAGTGTTGTAGGTAGGCAAACTTGGAAAACAATCCTTATAACTGTAACAATGAACAGTCAGAGCGGGTTTATCAGTGTTGTAGGTAGACAAACTTGGAGAACAATCCTTATAACTGTAACAATGAATAGTCAGAGCGGGTTTATCAGTGTTGTAGGTAGGCAAACTTGGAGATCAATCCTTATAACCGTAACAATGAATAGTCAGAGTTAGTTTATCAGTGTTGTAGGTAGGCAAACTTGGACCACAATCCTTATAACTGTAACAATAAATAATAAATTAGTTTATCAGTGTTGTAGGTAGGCAAACTTGGACCACAATCCTTATAACTGTAACAATGAATAGTCAGAGCTAGTTTATCAGTGATGTAGGTAGACTAACTCTTACCACAATCCTTATAACTGTAACAATGAATAATAAGTTAGTTTATTAGTGTTGTAGGTAGACTAATTCTTACCACAATCCTTATAACAGTAACAATGAATAGTCAGAGTTAGTTTATCAGTGTTGTAGGTAGACAAACTCGGATCACAATCCTTATAAATGTAACAATGAATAGTCAGAGTTAGTTTATCAGTGTTGGAGGTAGAATAACTCTTACCACAATCCTTATAACAGTAACAATGAATAATAAATTAGTTTATCAGTGTTGTAGGTAGAGAAACTCCGACCACAATCCTTATAACAGTAACAATGAATAATAAATTAGTTTATTAGTGATGTAGGTAGACTAAACACAAAGAAAAGTACATTTTAAGAGTACGTTTCATATAGCTCAATATATAACATGAGATTATATCTATATCTTTATATATAAGTGTGTGTGATTCTGTAATCACAAATATATATTACGTACTAGTTATAGATTGCTTTATTAAACATTAAGGGAATTTACATGTTCTTTTAATTTGGAGAACTCGATCAATTGTGATACTACCTATCCAACATTGCTAAACATAATGATTCTAGAGTGATTCTAGACTCGATTCCAGTTGCAGAAGATGCAAAAATCATTTACCAGAAAAAATTGGCTATCAAACTAATGGTTATCCCATGACCCTGAGGTAATTAATTCTCGATGGTGATCCTCGTTTTTAAGAAGGGGTGAGAATGTGGTAGAATGAGTTACATAGGGGGTTACCCCTTAGTTCAATTTCTCAAGACAGGGGTCTTGAGTTCAATTCCGCTCAAGGAAGGTTTAACAGAAGATTACTGCATAAACAAGCATACTTATCACTCACTTGTTAAACAATGGTAACAAGTGGTAGAAAAATTAAATTCGTTACAGATGTGTGTTTTTTTTTCCATTATTTCTCTTAACTTCTCCATTGGTTCAAAACCAGACGCGTTTTGAAATAAAATTTTAGATATATATCTTTTATCTCCCCACAAGTCGAAGCTTTTAGTTCAATACCAGAAGTCATCAATTGGGCTGGACGATGAGAGACAACAGACTTTATGAAACACTGTTTATATGTATTCAAAGATGTTTTTCAGCCAGAACGTCCATCCTGAAAAGAAACTCTTCCTACCAATTGATTATCTTTTAACATTCTCTCTTATGCCATTTCCAGTCGACGATTGTATATCCCGATGTCAAATTTATCCAGTAAGCTGTTTTTAATGTTCTTTCTCTGGCTGTTCTGTGTTTGAAAAACAAAAAAAAATTCATTTCCAAGTCATAACTTCATCTTCACGACAGTCTTCTTTAATTGATACACGCTCCCAGTGGCTCAGCGGTAATTATCATGCTTATGATGGTTGGCAGGGCACAGATAGTCTATTGTGTAGCTTTGTTCTGGATAATAACCAAACCAAACTAAACTGATACATGTTAGTTTCTATGAGCTGGTACATTTCAACATACATTATGTACTATTTATCGTCAGTTTCGTCACATCTCTTGGCAGAAGAGAGGGTGTAACCTTCTGATGACCTGTTAACCCTTTGACAAGGGGGTGAGTCTTTTGTTTCTCATTGTCTAGCCCAACTGATGAGTTCTGGTATTGAAGTAAAACCTTCTTGTGCAGCGACTTGTGGTATATAAAAGACAGATCTGAAATGTTGTTTTCATACACCTCTGACTTTGAGCCTGAAATATTGTTTTCATAAACCTCTGATTCTGAGCCTGAAATGTTGTTTTCATAAACCTCTGATTCTGAGCCTAAAATGTTGTTTTCATACACCTCTGATTTTGTTTATGTGTTACATCCATCCAATATTCAGACATTAAATACTATTGTTGTAAGTTACTCCTATATCCTTATGTGTTACATCCATCCAATATTCAGACATTAAATACTATTGTTGTAAGTTACTCCTATATCCTTATGTGTTACATCCATCCAATATTCAGACATTAAATATTATTACGATGTGTTGTTTCTAAGCTTTGAAGGGTCGCTTCAAACCACATATTCGGGCCCATATAGTATTATATTTTACATTGCTAATAAATTTTGTCTCGGTGCTTCCAGCACTTTATTTAGACAGTACACACTATTGGAACCCGAGGCATCGATCTTTTAAACTGTGATTAACTCTGGAACTACCGTATTGACCTCGTATCTCCAATGACCCAGTCAGTATCTTTTAAACTGTGATTAACTCTGGAACTACCGTATTGACCTCGTATCTCCAATGACCCAGTCAGTATCTTTTAAACTGTGATTAACTCTGGAACTACCGTATTGACCTCGTATCTCCAATGACCCAGTCAGTATCTTTTAAACTGTGATTAACTCTGGAACTACCGTATTGACCTCGTATCTCCAATGACCCAGTCAGTATCTTTTAAACTGTGATTAACTCTGGAACTACCGTATTGACCTCGTATCTCCAATAAC